CTGAGAATTGTTCTCAGGCAAGAGCGTAAAGAATATGTCCTTGACCAACCAATTCCTGCTGAACCAGCGGCCAATGCTCCTAGAGCCACCAGAGATGCTTATGAAAGGCATGTCCGTGATGAAGTTGATGTCACTTGTCTGATGTTAACCATCATGGAAGCTAATCTTCAGAAACATTTTCTGAATCGTCGTGCACATGACATCTCTAATGAACTCAAGAACTTGTTTCAGAAACAAGCACGGATCGAAAGGTTCGAGACAACCAAGGCTTTGTTTCACACAAGGCTTACTAATGGGAGCCCAGTTGGACCTCACGTACTCAAGATGATTGGGTATAGGGACCACTTGGAAAGACTTGGATCTCCAATCAGTCAAGAGTTGGCTACTGATGTGATTCTCGCATCACTCACCCCGGCATATGACCAGTTCATCCTGAACTATAATATGCATGGTCTTGAGAAGACCTTAACCGAATTGCATGGAATGCTCAACTCCACTGAGCAAAACATCAAGAAAAATCGGAGTGACGTTTTGATGATCAAAAAGGGAAAGGGATTCAAGAAGCCTGGAAAAGGCAAGGTTGGTGGAAACAAGAAATCCAAAACTCTGGTTATGAACTCGGGTAAAGGCAAATCTGTTGTCAGTTCTACTTCTAAAGAAGAGCAAAAATGTTTCCACTGCAACAAAACCGGTCATTGGAAGCGGAATTGCAAGGCGTATTTGGAAGAACTGAAAAGAAAGGAGCATGGTGATGCTTCCAATTCAGGTATCTATGTGATAGAAGTAAATGTTACTACTACTACTTCATGGGTATTAGATACCGGTTATGGTTCTCACATTTGTTCAAATGTGCAAGGACTGACAAGGAGTAGAAGGATGGCTAAAGGTGAAGTTGACTTACGAGTAGGCAACGGTGCAAAAGTTGCAGCATTAGCAATAGGAACATTTACTTTAAGTTTGCCCACAGGCTTAGTTTTAGAACTTGATAATTGTTATCATGTACCTGCCATTAGTAGGAATATAATTTCTATTTCTTGTTTGGACAAGAAAGGATTTCATTTTATAATAAAGGACAACACTTGTTCTATTCATTTTAATGAGATCTTTTATGGTAGTGCTAGTCTTATAAATGGACTTTATGTTCTAGACCTTGAAATGCCCATCTATCACATAAATACAAAAAAGTTTAAATCTAACGACTCAAACCCAACATACCTTTGGCATTGTAGACTAGGCCATATAAATGAGAAGCGCATTAAAAGACTCCATTCTAGTGGATTTCTTGACTCTTTTGATTTTGAATCAATCGAGGAGTGTGAATCTTATTTATTAGGTAAAATGGCCAAGTCACCATTTACTGGTAAAGGTGAAAGAGCTCACGGTTTATTGGACCTCATACACTCAGATGTTTGTGGCCCAATGTCAACAATGGCCAGGGGAGGTTTTCAGTACTTCATAACATTCGCTGATGACTTCAGTAGGTTTGGTTATGTGTACCTAATGAAGCATAAACATGAAGCTTTTGAAAAGTTCAAAGAATTCCAGAATGAAGTTCAGAATCAACTTGACAAAACAATAAAGGCCATTCGATCAGATCGAGGTGGTGAATATTTGAGTCAGGAATTTAGTGATCATCTAAGAGGTTGTGGAATTGTTTCACAACTCACTCCGCCAGGTACACCAAAATGGAATGGTGTGTCCGAACGGAGAAATCGGACCTTGTTAGACATGGTTCGTTCCATGATGAGTCTCGCTGAAATACCAATCTCTTTCTGGGGTTATGCTCTTGAAACCGCTGCATTCATACTCAATAGGGCTCTAACAAAGGCTACAGAAAGGACACCATATGAGATATGGACAGGAAAATTTCCTAGTCTAACCTTTGTGAAGATTTGGGGGTGTCAAGTTTATGTAAAACGTTTACTTTCAAATAAGCTTGAACCCAAATCAGATAAGTGTTTATTTGTGGGTTATCCTAAGGAAACAAAAGGATATTACTTTTACAACCCATCAGAGAACAAAGTGTTTGTTGCTTGTAATGGTATTTTCTTAGAAAGAGGATTTCTTTCTGAAAGAACCAGTGGGAGTAAAATACAGCTTGAAGAAATTCAAGAAGTTCTAGATAGTCAGACTATGCAAGCAGTCCCACAATCTCAGCCACAAGTTGTTGTGGATACACCTGAGGTAACACTCGCTTCAAGGAGGTCATCTAGGGTACGTAACGAGCCAGTTAGATACATGTTTATCTTAACTGAGCATCGTGACGTATTATTAATAGACGAAGATGAACCTTTGACCTACCAAGAAGCAATATCGAGCCCTCACTCCGATAAATGGCTAGAAGCCATGAAATCCGAAATGAGATCCATGGTCGACAATCAAGTCTGGGACTTAGTTGATCTACCTGATGGTTGTAGAACCATTGGGTGCAAATGGAGCTACAAAAAGAAATTAGACAAAGATGACAATGTAGATGTCTATAAAACATGTTTAGTGGCGAAAGGTTACAAACAAATTCATGGTATAGACTATGATGAAACATTCTCGCCAGCTGCCATGCTTAAATCAATTCGGATTCTCTTAGAAATTGTCGCTCATTTTGATTATGAGATTTAGCAAATGGATGTCAAAACTGCTTTCCTAAATGGAAATCTAGATGAGGACGTGTATATGATACAACCTGAGGGTTTTGAACATCCAATCAATGTTGGGAAGGTATGCAAGCTCAAAAGATCAATATATGGTCTGAAGCAAGCATCTCGGAGTTGAAATCTTCGTTTTGATGCTGCAATCAAAGAGTTTGGTTTCAATCAAAACGAAGAGGAACCTTGTGTTTACAAGAAATTGAGTGGAAGTGCAATCACTTTCCTAGTCCTATATGTAGATGACATACTTCTCTTTGGGAATGATGTTTCGATGCTTTCGTCTGTAAAGGCTTGGCTTGGAAAGTGTTTCTCAATGAAAGACTTGGGTGATGCATCCTATGTGTTAGGGATCAAGATCTATAGAGATAGATCTAGAAAGCTAATAGGACTAAGTCAAAGTAACTACATTGACAAGGTCCTACATAGGTTCAATATGCAAGATTCCAAGAGAGGGTTCTTGCCTATGTCACATGGCACACATCTCAGCAAGACTCAGTGTCCACAAACACAAGATGAGCGAGATCGAATAAATAGAGCCCCTTATGCTTCTGCTATAGGTTCTATCATGTATGCTATGTTATGTACTCGCCCTGATATAGCTTGCGTTCTAAGCATGACTAGTAGATACCAGTCAGATCCAGGTGATAGTCACTAGATAATGGTCAAGAATATTATAAAGTACTTGAGAAGAACTAAGGATGTATTCTTGGTCTATGGCGGTGAAGATAAGCTCATTGTAAATGGTTACACAGATGCTGGGTTCCAATCCGATAAGGATGATTTTAGATCGCAGTCAGGATTTGTGTTTTGCCTCAATGGCGGAGCAGTGAGCTGGAAGAGTTCTAAACAAGACACGGTGGCTGATTCTACAACAGAAGCTGAGTACATTGCTGCTTCAGAAGCAGCAAAAGAAGCAGTATGGATAAGGAAATTCATTATTGAGCTCGGTGTCGTTCCTAGTATTGTTGGACCAATGGACTTATATTGTGATAACAATGGAGCCATTGCACAAGCCAAGGAACCTAGATCACACCAGAAATCAAAGCATGTACTCAGGCGATATCATCTCATTCGAGAGATAGTCAATAGAGGTGACGTCAAGATATGCAAAGTACCAACAGATGCAAATGTGGCTGACCCGCTCACCAAGCCACTACCACAAGCAAAGCATGAACGTCATACTAGTGCATTAGACATTCGTTTTGTTCACGATTGGTCCTAGTGCAAGTGGGAGACTGTTGAAAGTATGCCCTAGGACAATCATACTTTATGATTTATCAATGAATAATTAATGCTCATTATTTAATAAAGTCACAAACTCATTTTATGTTAATTATTATTGTGAGTTTTCTTTATTAATTTTTAGTCCCTGAATATTATGTTTAGTAGCTAATTAAGTACGTGACTTAATTTTGGAATGCTACACTTTAAAATAAGCATAATATTCTAATTGTCCATGGTTTAATATTATTAATCTGGGACATTAATAATTAATAGACCATTATGTGGATTAACTGATGGCTATATTCCACTAGTCATGGGTATAGAGATATCAAGTTAATAACATAGATGCTTGTTAGTGAACAAGTTCATTGGACAAACCCAACTTGAGGATACTGCTAGGTTATATGTCATCAGTGTTGTCCTCAATAATGATGAGGTGCTATATTCTTGTACTTGAGATAATCATGGTTACTTGCATGCGAATTAATATGTATTAACAACATTAAATATTATTTTTAAATGGATAATTATAAAGGTGGTGATTGTACATATTATGAACCATGTAGTGGTATGTGAATTATCAAGATAGTTTTTGTCACTCTCGTATAGCGAGAGAAAGATATCTATTGGGCCCCTTGACAAGTAAGATTAATTAGCATGTCCATGCTCAAATGAGGTGTCATTCGTTCAAAATTAATCTTACTTGGTAATCAAGAAATATTAATTGAGAATAACAAGGATGACATGACCTAACCTTGTCTCAATTAAGATATCGTTTGACAAAAGAGAATTATTAGCACAAATTAATCATTAAAAGGTTATGTCAGATTTAATTGACATTTATATATTTTGGATAGTCATAATGCCTTGCTAGAGATCGTTTATGATTTGTGAGGCTTGAATTAATTTTTTAAGCCCACTGCCAATAATATATAAACCTACAGGGTCACACACCTAAGTGATTCAGATCATTAATGTTCATTAATAACATTAAAATAGCCTGATTAGCCCAATTCGAAATAGGGTTTCGAATGGTATTGGGCTAGGGCCTCTTGGAGGGTTTTATTAGCTATAAAACCCCTTCTTTCCTCCTCTTATAAATAGGGCTATATAGACCCACGAATTTTAAGAGTTAAAATTCACTTCTAAAACCTAGAGTAGAGAGGAAGAAAGAAGAGAACGCTAGCACGTTCCCAGCGATCGATCCAATCACGTGCGTGTGGATACCGGTAGAGCTCGGGATCGTTTTGTCGGACTGTCTCACATCCTTGATTAAGATTGCTATGTAAGTCCCTCTTATATCTTGTAATTTCGTTTATAATAAGAACCTCAGATCCGGTTGTTTACTTTTGGGCAGTATTTTTTTTTGTTTATTCCGCTGCGTTTTTCTGCCCGAAACCCAACACACCGGGCCGGTCCGGTCCGCACAGTGGCGGGCCGGTCCGGTTCCGGGCCGGTTGGCCTGGCCCGAGTCCACCCCTAGTTTGGAGAAGATTTGTGAAAAGTCGTATTTATGGTTGAATGATTTGTAAAGAAAATGAAAAACCGGGAATAGCAGGTCATCAACCGGTCATGGACCAACGGATGAAGATGAGGTGCAAAGATTGGATTATTCATTAATAACGATAAAGTGCGGTCAACGAATGAATACCGCTAAAAGATTGAATTATTAATTTTCATTTTCCATATAATTTACACCCAAATTTATCAATATTCATATTTAAATGAAATACGTTTCAACAAGTAATCAAGACCATCAATTTTATTTATTACTCAAATTGTTATACAAGATATTCAAAGAGTTGATGCCAATAATATAATGTAAACTCCTAGCTACATGATACAAAACTACATACTCCGTATGATTCATTTACAATCCAAATATTCATAGAAATTTTCTAGGACTTAATAAGCTCCGTATGATATTAGTTGACAACTTGACATGCATAGAAAGGGTATCATCTTGCTTCTATTTTGTTACCGGCTTTTATCTGAAAAACAAAGGAAGAAGAAAACAAAACAGAAAATAAATTAGAATGACTTATATATTTTCATAATTTTAAATATGTGATCTATGATTATTTGTTTCAAACTAAACACCACCCTACCAAGTTTAGATCACAGGCCCCGCCCGGCCTTTCACAGTTTTTTTTTTGTTTCGTTGCACATCATGGAACTTCACCAACATCGGTATACCGCATTTAAACACTTCACTAACAAGCAACATGAGTTGAACAAGATAATCACTTGTGAAAAATTTAAATACGGAATTATACAAGGAGTATATTCTCCAATAATTCAATGCCTAAATCATTTAAATTCAAATATAGGGCAATTGAGCATTGGGACATTTCAAATGGAGCACCTGCACATGAACAAATATTAAGGGAAAGATAAAAATAGAAAATTTGGAATGACAACAAATTTAGGGGGGGAATTTTAAAAAGGTCAAACTGGATGTTTTATCAAATTTGATTTCTTCCAAGAAAATCCAAACATGTCGACAAATTGCAGAGACAATCTGGGTTTTTTCACATAATAAAAATATTGAAAACTATTAATGACTCACAGTCCAATAACTAAACCATCTGGATAACATGTGACCAAGGACCAACTACAAGGATAAACAACGTTAGCATCCCAATGATCAGGAAAACCAAGAGGATCTTTCAGACATGCTTTTATATCAATTAAAGCTTTTATATCAATTAAAAGCCACTGTGTTTTTTGAAAACTATACTTAAATTGCAAATTTATACTTGGACATACATAAATAAGAGAACAAAGCATGCAAAACCTTGAAAAAAGGGAAATATCAGGAGGCGGTCTATTATTCATTGAGAGAATAGTGCAAAAGCGATCTATTTGCATTTAAAAGAATGGATTAACCCATGATTGTGTCGGTTTAAAAATAGGTGCTTAATAAGAGATGAATGTGTTATGTCTAACACAAATAAACACCTGACTATGATAAAACAGGAAATAAGAAAAGACTAGGTAAATCATTTACTTCACAATCGGCAACCAAGAGAAATTTTTTATGTGTTTAGAATTTTCTGAAACAAGAACACTAATAAGCATGACCTGCAATGACGCAAAGCAAAAAAAAGACAAATATAGCTATAAATACTCATGAAAGGAGCACATTTTGAACCAAAATCACAGGAATAACAAAGCAAAATCAGAGCCTCTTCTGAATAGATGCCTCTTACCAATCTTTTGATCGACCTGATATGAAAAAAAATGGCATAAAACAAGCATAAATCACTGCATAATTAATGAAAATACACGCTAAAAAAACATTTTAGACAAATCCTAAGAGAACTTTGGGGGATTAGCACATAAAACGACTTGGGGGTGAGGGACATAGCCTCATGTCCCCTCCAAAGATTTTCTAGAGCTAAGTAAACCTTTAAATTGAAACCTTGTTCTGCACCTGCATTAATGTATAAACAAAAATGTATATAAAAGAAGTCTCCCACACATTCTAAGGAGAGTAATTCAGTAAGAGCAAAGAGAAACATTTATCGCACGAATAGGAGACCAAATTAAAACACCACTCTCATCAGCTTTCACCTACTTCAGCGTCATAAAAATAAAAATTAAATGAAAGTTAAGCAGTGAGACAGTGTGTTATCAGTATAATAAAAAAAGTTGGTGCAAACCTAACTAAACTCAAGTATGAATGAGAAAATAGTTGGTGCGAACCTAATTAGAAGCAAATAGATGAAGGATTATCTCTAAAATAAATAAATTTGAAGAAAAAACGGGATAGGCAATTTCAAGATAAGTTTGGGCGTAAAAAGCAATATATAAAACACAAAGATGATTCCTAAATCTTAACCTTGAGATAACGATACCAGCGCCACATAATCTTGGAGAAGATGAGGTGAGAGCAAGGATTCGAATCCAATCACATGGACATTTTTAAGTGGCAAATCTAAGGAGCTGCAAAGTGACGATGAGTAGAGGATAATCTTGAACTAAATTCTCCAGTAACTGCTATGCATTGTCTTCATTTTAAACATTTATCATTTTCATTTATTACCTTCCCTTGCGCTGCAACCCACGAGAGAAAGTTCAACGGTTGAATCAAAGTTAAACACATAGATCAAACACCTAATAAAGCATAGGTTATTATTTATGATCTTCTCCTAAGCCATCAACATATTACTTTGAAGTTATAATAAAGACGTATGAAACTAACGAAAAAGATTAGAAAATAGAGGTAGTATGAGAAGATTGCCTCTCAGACATACTCACAAACACCTTCAAGGCATCATTCTTGAAAGCCCTTCTTCAAGAGAGGAGATGTCACTGCAAATGGTTTCTTCGTTTCCGTCTTTTTCTTCCAAACCTAAAATATGGCACTTAAAAATATGGAAACATACATAATAGTTAGGAAACCAAATATGTGAACAAATCTGAGCTTAAACTAGAAAAAATCTATCTTCATCTGGCAAGGTACTCTAGCTTATAGTGAAAACCTAACACTTCATCACAATACCTTCTAAGCACCCATACTACTTTTCTCCACTGCTAATTAGAAACACAACATCTTCTACTCCTCATTCAGTACATAGGTTTAAATGATCTTAAACCTATTGTTGTTGTTGCCGTTATTATTATTATTATTACTGTTGTTGTTATTATTGTTAAACTTGGAGAATCTATTCGTTATAGGATTCTTGATCTTGTTAAATAGCTGAAGAAATTAGGATATTGAAGAATGTTAAAATAATTATGACATGTGTAGTTGTGTTCATATTTTTTTTTGAATCGTAAATCCAAAATGATATAGTAGTTGCACTAATAAATAAACAAATAAATAAGTGATGTTCTTAAGAGTCATTTAACAAGTTATCAGCTGATCGTAAACAACTATTTAACCAAACACAATTTCACAAACTGCTAATACTATCAGTTAATCAAAACAACCAACAGAATACACTGTCATCAACCAGCCAACCGTCAACAACCATTTGAGAAGCACCCTCATTGTAGCATTGAACTTTTCGGTAATGTGTTTTTTCAACTAAGAATTATTGTTATGTTTTTGTGTGTTTCATATTTAGGCATATTGATTTTAAGACACCTTTTTGTATTATTTTTCGCATAACGGTATTACTTTATGTGTAGCTTATGATTTTAAGGTAATGGTATTACTTTATTTAACTTTATTTCAATTTTCAGTCGAGTAGACTTGTATAGTTGTATTCTTACATCCTCTCAGAATTCTCTAGAACTCTACACCATCTTTTCGTTCGTCCAGTTAAAGGTTGGAAGCATATAGTTTGTTAAGCGGAAGGGTAGGGGCGGCGCTTCGTCCGCAGGTTTGCAGTGCTGCTTCTCTCGTCGGGCAAAGTGGCAAAGCAGGTTGGCTAAGGGCTTCGGCCGAATTGATTCCTCAGTCGGCAACAACACGCAAGGCGTGGTGATGAAAGGCAACCAAAGGAAGGCGATAGAGGTTTTGACTCAAGTTTATGGAAGGATGGAGATGAATGAACATGATGAAGTCAAGGACAATCCGCGGGACTATGATCGGTTGGACTCGAAGGTAGATGTCGAAAGGTTATTGGTTCGTCCCCCTCCAGAACCGCCGCCAGAGAAGGAACGAACGGCAAGGGTTTGGAGGCTTCTTTTGATTAGTACTTTTGCTTGTTTCGTTTGTTATTTCATTATCCAGGACGTACGGAATAATTCTTGCTTTGTGGACATTAAGCGTAGGTCCTTTGGTTATTTTTTCATTATTCAGGTTAGGTTTGTGCGTGGAAGCGATAAGGCTTGTACGGTCGCTAAAAGCTTCGAAACTCTCACATGGTCAGCGAATAGTCTCGCTCTTTTTATGGTGGTCTATTCTGTGTCTAGTCAGAGAGTGGGAGAGACGTTTGACTATGCGGAGCCTCATAGGAAGGTTTGGCGTTTCTTGATTGTGGGGTTGTTGTTATCATTGATTACTACGGAGTATAATATAATTAGTTTCCTTTATACTCCCTCCATTTCTGAAACAAGTTCCACATTTGACTTCACACATACTAAGAAAATAAATTTGACTTTACTGTGGAGTGCACTGTTTGGCACTGTTTGACATTGTTTGAACAATGTTTGACACTGTTTTAATGTAGATAATTTGCCAAATAAGGAAATGTTTGAAAGTGGAACTTAATTTTGAATATGCCCGAAAAGGAAAAGTGGAACTTGTTTCAAAAACAAAGGGAGTAAAAAAAGACTTATTCTTTTTGCGTAGCTTATATGTGGTGAACTCGCGGCCCATATATATACCGTGATACCCTAATGAGTGGTTGAGTAATTGTTCCATGAAGTATCACAAGCTCACAACTTGCTGATATGTTTGAGTTTGGGAATGTTTTTGCAAATTATATCAACTCATTTAATAGCAAAAAAACAAGTGATTATAATAATTACTTCTATGAATGTATTAGAACTTGAGAAAAAATATTTAGTTGGAATGGTTGTGATCTTCATACTAATTAAGAGCCCATTTGGTAGCCATGATTTTTGGCTTTTCAGGCTTATCAGCCAACCTTTTCACCAAACACGTAGCTTCTGATTTTACGCGCTGAATTATGTAATAATAAGACTAAGTAAGGTTGGAGTTACTTTTCTGACTGTATTAGCTGAAGTTACCGTGTAGAGGATCATTTTAGCTATTTTTTCATATAATTTTTTCTTTAATTAATTAATAAAATATATTTTAAATATTTTTTTCCACAAATAATCAAAATCAGTCAATAACTCCGCCATGATATAATTTTTTTGGTATCATACCTGTCCCAAGCCAGGATAAAGGAGGAGGGTGTTGTGGTAGGCGTGTGACGGCCAACAGTATCACCTAGTCACATCACATGACATGAATCGAAATATGAAAATCGATAATGCTAGGTCGTCACCGGTAAGTGACGCGTCATCCCTCCGCCTGGGGGTGGTGTCAAATATGCAAGGGCGCGCTACACTTGATAGACCTGGGTGTGGTGATAAGAATGCTAAGGTTGCTAGGTCGCCGCCCAGAAGCGGCGCGTCATCCCATTGCCCGAGGATGATGTCAAATATGCAAGGGCATGGTGGGGTCCGAGATAGGGCTAAGAACAGAAGGTGGAATGCTAGATTGCGTTTTGGGTAATGGAATGTTGGGTCTCTTACAGGGAAATCTTCCGAGGTAGTCGAGGTTATGAGGAGAAGGAATATCAGCATTATGTGTGTGCAAGAAACTAAATGGGTTGGAGAGAGAGCACGTGAGATTAATCCCGGAGGTTTTAAGTTGTGGTATTCGGGGAGAGATAAGACTAGAAATGGGGTAGGCATTATTGTGGAGCGTGACTATGTTGAGGATGTGGTAGAAGTCTTCAGGAAGAACGATCGCATCATGAGCATTAAATTGGTGATAAGAGGTGAGATTGTGTCTGTGGTAAGTGCCTATGCACCACAAGTGGGATTGGATGCATCTACAACTCAACAGTTCTGGGAAGATCTTGAAGACGTGGCGCGACGAGTGCCAAGGGGAGAGAAGTTGATCATAGGAGGTGACCTCAACGGGCATGTGGGCTCGAGTCGTGATGGCTTTGAGAATATTCATGGCGGACATGGTTTTGGCACTAGGAATATCCTATGTTTAACTTGGTTTAAGAAAAGAGACTCTCACCTTGTAACCTATAAAAGTGGAGCTAATAGTACCCAAATCGACTACTTCTTAGTACGGACCACTGGGAGAACTAGCTACACTGATTGTAAGGTTATTCCAGGTGAGAGTGTTGTCACTCAGCATAGGATGCTTGTGCTTGACTTTCGAGGTAAGAACCATGAAAGACAAGTTAAACAACAAGTGGAGCCAAAGATAAAGTGGTGGAGGCTAGAGGGAGATCTTCAACAAAGCTTTACACACAAAATGGTCGGTGAAGATGTATGGCGTATTGATAATGAAACACAGGTGGATGATGTGTGGTTATCAATGGAGTTGACCATTAACAAAGTGGCAAAGGAGGTACTTGGAGAATCTAAAGGATGTCGACCACCTAAAAAGGACACATCTTGGTGGAATGATGAGGTGAAACAAGCCATAAGGAACAAAAGAGATTGCTACAAAAAGTTGGGGACAAATTGGAGTGATGAGAACATAGAAGCATACAGGGAGGCTAAAAGACAAGCAAAGAAAGCCGTAAGGGAAGCACGGGGGAAAGTGAACAAGGAGTTGTATGAAAAGTTGGACTCTAAGGAAGGAGAACTAGATACTTATAGACTTGCTCGTCTTCGTGATCGCAGAACTCAAGATATTGCAAAAGTTAAGTGTGTGAAGGATGTTGATCAGAGGATATTAATGGACGACGGAGAGATAAAAGAGAGGTGGAGGTCATACTTTGATACACTATTCAACGAGAACAAAACGCAAGATATCGGTGATTTGTCCATACCAGATTGTATGGTAAACCGTGATTTTGTGAGAAGGATCCAAACAACGGAAGTTAAATAAGCTCTGAGGAAGATGGGACGGAAAAGAGCAATGGGGCCAGATGGCATACCGATCGAGGCTTGGAGAAGTTTGGGAGAGAGAGGCGTCGAGTGATTAACAAGTTTCTTCAACATGATTTGGAGAAACAACAAGATGCCAACGAGTTGGAGGAAGAGTACTCTTATCCCTTTATTTAAGAATAAAGGTGATGTACAAGAATGTGCCAACTATCGAGGGATTAAGCTTATGAGTCACACCATGAAACTTTGGGAGCGAGTGATTGAGCAAAGACTTCGAAGGACTGTGAAGATTTCAGAGAATCAATTCGGTTTTATGCCTGGTCGCTCAACAACTGAGGTTATTCACCTTCTTCGTCAACTTATAGAGAAGTATAGAGATGCTCATAAGGATCTGCATTTGGTGTTCATTGACTTAGAAAAGGCATATGATAGGGTACCTCGAGAAGTTCTTTGGTGGGCCTTAACTAGGAAAGACATATCACACAAGTATATCAGCATCATCATGGATATGTATGAGGATTGTACTACAAGTGTTCGTACTAGTGTAGGGAGGACTGAAGAGTTCCCTATTACTATCGGAGTGCACCAAGGATCGGCCTTGAGTCCTTTCTTATTTGCCATAGTCATGGATGAACTTACGAAGTCAATTCAAGACGATATACCGTGGTGCATGATGTTTGCCGACGATATTGTATTGATTGATGAGACGCAATCAGGTCTTAAAGAAAAGTTGGAAGTATGGTGACAAACATTGGAGAATAAGGGTTTCAAACTAAGTCGGAGCAAGACAGAGTACATGGAGTGCAAGTTTGGTGGAGGTAGAAGTAGTGGTAATAACGGAATTACTCTGGATGGTAAGGAGATACCAGTCAGCGATATGTTCCGTTACTTGGGCTCCATAATTCAGAAGGACGGTGAGTTAGATGGAGATGTATCCCATAGAATCAGAACAGGGTGGATGAAGTGGAAGAGTGCGTCAGGATTTTTGTGCGACCGAGGTATGCCGACTAGACTGAAGGGTAAATTTTATAGGACAGCAATTAGGCCTGCATTACTGTATGGCGTAGAGTGTTGGGCGGTGAAACAATGTCACATTCAAAAGATGAGTGTGGCAGAGATGCGCATGCTGCGTTGTATGTGTGGGCATACTAGGAAGGACCGCGTGAGGAATGAGACAATCAGACAAAGGGTGGGAGTAGCACCTATTGAAGACAAGATGCGGGAGTCGCGCCTACGGTGGTTTGGTCATGTGCGTAGAAGACCGAGTGATGCACCTGTTAGGCGAGTTGAGATGTATGGAGAAGAGACAGGGAAGAGAGGGAGAGGAAGACCCAAACAGACGTGGGTTAGGGGAGTTCGAAGTGATATGCTTCTTCTGGGGTTGGATGAGGGCATGACTTTGGAGAGAACTAAGTGGAGGGCGGGTATTCACGTGAAGGAGTGATTTTGATAATCTTTTTCCCTCATCTTTTTTTTTCCTAGTTTTTTTTTATCCTTGTATATATATATGCATTATTTGCAGCCTTTTTATTTTATCATTTTTATATATAGTCATCTTTTTTATATTATCTTATCATAATAGCTTATCTTTTTATCTTTATTCCTTCTTTTCCTTTTGGTTGTGATATCATGTATCGATTCATGTTAGCCGACCCCAATATCTTTTGGGACTAAGGCTTGGATGTTGTTGTTGTTGTTGTAATCAAAATCAGTCAATACAACCACTTCCACCAGAACTTCGTAAATTTCAGCACAACCAGCCAACACAACAAATTTGGGTCTTACCAAACGGGCCATAAATTTTGTCTTCAAAAAGTAGCTAGGAAGACTACATTATCAGAATATTCATGTACTTTTGGATAGTTTTGGAAATTTTGCATTTAAAGTTGGGAAAAATAATAAAAATACCTCAAACTTTGAAGGCGTGTGAGATAAATAACCCAAACTTGTATATGTAATTTAAATACCCCAAACTTTATATAAAAAGTTATTTTCGCACCATTATCATGATTTATTTCTTTCAAAAATATAAATTTTTTGGGTTAATTGCATAATTTAAAATAGCAAATTAAAAGTGTTGCAATTATATAGATTTGGGATTACATTATTTATTTCGCAATAGAAATTTAGAATGTTAATTGTGTTTTCATGAATTCTAAAATATACTCCGTATTAAATTATGCAATTAACACCATAAACTTACAATTTAAAAAGAAATAATACTTGACTATGGTGCTAAAATAACTTTTTATATAAAGTTTGGGGTATTTAAATCACATATGCAAGTTTGGGGTGTTCATCTCACACCCCTTCAAAGTTTGGGGTATTTTATTTATTTTTCCCTTTAAAGTTTTATTCACTTCATATTCATAATATGTGGTGCATTTGTATGTACTTCAATCCATTTGATGTCATACTTTTTTAAATGTATTTTGTTAAATAAAACACAATCAAAAGCCATGTCAAAACTAAATTTCATTTCCTCATATCTTTCCTCTTCTTCACAAGTACTCCGTATATAAGAGTATATTTTTATATGCTTGTACTTCAAGGAATAGTGTTTATTATATACTCCTTTCGTTCCATTAGAAGGTTCTCACTTTCAATTTTTGGACGTCCCATATAAAGATTCTCATTTGCATTTTAGGAAAGAATTAACAATCTTAAGTGACAAATTAATCATTAAATATTAAAAATAATACATTTACAACATCACGGTTATCAATACTAACTACATTATAATATATACGATAGAACTTATTAAAATTATTTCTCAAAATATACTCGAAATACTTTATATAATTATTGCCTAAATAACTGTGTCGTTTTGCTATGGGAACCTTCCAACGGGACGAAGGTAGTATGTACTTAAAGAGTGCATCTTTAAATAGGTGTGATTAAATGTAAATGAAACATATAGTATAAGTTCATGAATTAGAAAATAATTCTACGTAACAAAGAAAGAATTTTACTCCATAAAATCTGCTAATATCTACTTCTTAATTATGACATTTCTGTATGTTATGCACTTCTATGAAATGGATTATTATATTTGAAAAGGTTAGAGTCAGCTTATGAAGATCATACTTCAGGCAAGGACGGATAGTATTAGCTAATAATATACTCCAAACATGGGAGAACCCCAAAACAAATTATTCATAAAAACTTACTTACAATGTGAGTTGAAGTAATAAATCGTATCTTTATCATTTCCAATAATAAAAAAGGAATACCGAGCATGGGAGATTTTAACAAAAACAAAACCTTCACGGCATGCAGGTTAGTCGATGGTATATTTGTGAACAAAATTTGCAAAATTTTTGTTCTAGAGTTGGTATAAACTATACACAAATAATGTGTACATTTGGAGCAAAGCAATACTCCGTATTCGAGAACGGATATTGAACGTAAATATTCAAGGGAAACGTACCTTGGCACACATTTATTGGATAATGAAAAGTTATATATGCAACACCATCAAATGTGTGCCTATAGAAACAGCTTTTAGGATGTCAATATTTGTCATGTTATCTTTAATCCTAAAATTGCCTTCAGAGGATGTTCATGGATGAAGCAATGCCTCTTAGCTCCTTTGCAATGTCCGAGAAAGCCGGTCTTGCTTTTGGATCAGAACACCAACACCTCTCCATCAGATGTCTCCATGCAGGGTGACACCAATATGGAATTTCAGGTCTTAGACAGCCTTTGATTATACCACCTGCAGTGAAGTGGAAGCAGCAAATTAGGACTAAAACCATAGAGGTATGGAAACTCGATTTCGACTCCACTCTTCAAAACTATGCATATACGCTACGCTTCGCGTTGCTGAGTACTATTTTCCCAAATTGATCCTTCCAAAACTCTGTCTTAACCTGACCAGAGTCATGCCCCACCGAGATCACGCCGTTCCACTAGTCTGGTACCAAACAGTTTTTTAAGAAAGATGGCTTACAATGCTTCCAAATAAAAAAGTGAGTTGTGATCATCAAAATGACTAGCGAGGATAAGTGTTTATTTTCAAAACTGATGTAAAACGGATTTCAATTTGCAAATACATGAAGAGGATGTCTAAGTATTTGGACTTGATGTTAACCTAAAACTTCAACCGGATAGAAGGAGCAGCACAACATCTAACTACGTATATTTTGGTTTCTATCTTTATACTTGACCAGTTTGGATGACTTAACACTGATTACAACCCCCTCCATATACTCCTGAACTCTGAAACATACATATGATTTCCTCCGTTCGCATATTTGAATAAGGTTCTGCTCCAGTCAAGAGTTCCCACATGACAATTCCAAAAGAGTATACATCAACCTGAACAACGGAAAAGCGAGATGAAATGACATGTGAAATTAGTTGGTAGCAAGGTTAACCGAAACGTTCGAAAATGTTATTGAAAAACATCAAACCTTCTCTGACACCATGCTCTCGCAACTCAGTAGTTCTGGAGCCATCCATGGTATAGTTCCACGCACTCCTCCAGAAACAAGTGTACTTTGTTTAATCTTTGACAGTCCTAGATCGCCAATCTATAGATACGAGGAGAACAAGGACTGTGTGACATGACATACAGTTTAGGAGAGAGTTTATGTTACCCGTAAGGTTAGTGCCTGCATGGGCTCGAAAGCCTTCTGATGCACTCACCTAGTCAGAGAGTGGTCTATAACTTGGAAGCCATGTGGGCATTAACCTTACGGCTAACATGAACTCTCCCACAATTTAGTAACACAAAAAAATTATAAATTAAATTAACTGACATTCTAAAATTCGAGCTTCTAACCTCAGGATTAAGGGGCTAGTAATTATGATAATAAGAAAGAAGCCCTTCCAATACTGAGATTAGAATTCATTACCTTGCATATTGGGCGCAGAGGATCCCTCATATTGACAAGGATGTTGTGTGACTTTAGATCGAAGTGGATAACGTTCTTTTGGTGCAAATACTCCATACCAAACGCAGCATCCAATGCTATTATTAACCGCTTGCGATAATCGATGGTTCTGCACATCATATCATCACCTTATTCCCTATTATACGTTGGGAGTGTGACATGCAACTTATAAGATCAAATATGTGTTGCTTACAATGTAAATTAATGGTTCTATACATGATATGCGTTACACGGAAAAAGGATTAAAGGATATGATATACACCATATATAGCTCAGGATTTATGACAAAATAATATGATTGATCAACCTGCCTGACTTAAAAGATACACTAAGAAAAGGAGTTGATTCAAATAATTAACTTCATGGAGTTGAGGAAAAAGCTAATGATAAAGTTCTCTATTTTCCAAATTCAGAAAGATCGTAAAGTAAAGCGTATCGTGTTTTCCGCTATAAGTTTTCAATTTTTCAGAAACTGGTGAACTTTTCATGTTTGGTAAAGAAACACTAATTAATCCCATGTGGGAGGACAACAAAAGCATTCAACAGGGACAACAAATGCTAGAAATGGTTGAATATGTGTCCATACAACTTGTGACCACAGAAAATAGGAATAAAAGTTTTACCCATCTCTCTTTCGTAAAACTTGTTTAAGAGAGCCATTCACCATGTACTCGGATACTGTTTCCAAATTGTTCATGGGACCATCTGTAACTACACCATACAATGCCACTATGTTAGGATGATGAAGACCACCTAATATGTGAGCTTCCTTCCAAAAGTCGGCAACCTATATATACAACAAACATGATCAAATTCTAGATAAAATAAATATGCATCCCTAATAAATTCAAGAAGAAAGCTTCCCCTTGAGAATCTTTTTTTTACTACTTCTCAAAAACATAAAATAGGTAAACAACATGTTAGCATATCATAACAAAGTCTAAATCTATTATTTCGAAAAATATGGAACAGTGAAACTTACCAATCGATCCTCCATTGTATCATCAATGAAGCAGCTTGGCTTTAGCCTTTTAATTGCAACATCGGAACCCTTCCATTTTCCATAGTAAACTGTTCCATAAGTTCCTGATCCAAGCTCTTTGACATATTCAAGTTCATACTTATTTATCCTCTGCAACTATTCGGAATCTCATAAGAGATGAACATAAATCAACTGCAACCTATATATAGTAAGATACATAAAATCAATTCTCATATGGCTTTCCCTTACCTGAAGCCCACCATTACCCATATGAGCACAATATAGAAGAACATCAGCTAGAATTGTACCATTTTTCTTTGCACGTGTATTTGCCTCCATATTTGCACCCTCAAAGACAAAAACAAAATTTCATCAGTCAAAACTGGTCTTCTAACCTCAACTTTTTGAAGGAGAATATATGTACATACTAAGTATTTGGTAAGATACCTTTTCATCACAGCTTAAAACGGAAGGGGATTTGTCCATTATCTCATCCATTAGCTTTTGATGAGCATTCTCGACCAACAAAGTAGAAGAAGCTTGAGTTGATGTTTCAAGCTGATCCTCCTCCATTGTTGCAAGGGAAGAGGTCTTCTGGTCCACATTTGCAGATGATGAAGACAATGACATATTCTGGAGAGCCACCTCGACCGTTGATGAAACTGTCTCATCTAAAGTGTCTTTTTTGAAGATCTCATTCTCAATATTTTTGCACCCAATACGACCATTTATCATTCCAACATATGGTCTTCCATAGTCCCCTCTAAAATTGTGAATTTTATCCATTCCATATAGCATATCTTGAGGATCTTTAGCTTGATGATGAGGATGAACACTTATGATTGTCGTCTCTCTCAGGTTCATGGATCCAAATTGATCATAACATAAACATTGAATTGATGAATTACAACCAGAATATCCTTTTCCAAAATTCAAGTGAACATGCCCCAATAAATCATCACACGAATATTCCTCTGAGACATTTTTGAAATTATCAGCCCTCTCTACAGAATGGGCATTCTTATTACGTTCATACTCTAACTTATTCTTCACATCATAGAATTCACTAACACTCAAAGAGCTTTCACCTTCAGAGCTTAAATCTATAACTGGGAATCCCATCTCTGTGTGCCTAATTTCGCCCTTCAAGAGCTTTACGCCATCAAATCTCTTCCCTAACAATTGTTGCTTCAACACAAGTTTTCTCAGACTATTATCACTGAGTTTCTTTCCCTTTTCACCTCCAAAACTCTGACTTTTCCCAAACCCGTTGTTTTTCCCATTCAAGGGTTTCTTGTGGGGAACTCCATTGATTTCAGGGGAGAAATTACTACCATTATCAAAGCACACAAAAACCCAGAGCCTAGTGGGCTTACCCATTTTCTCGAGCCGGATGAACTCTTTGATCATGGAAGAAACGTCGTCGTCCGATGAAAGCTGAACCAGAGGCCTCTCTTCTTGAGAGCCTGAGAGGTGGTACCTGAGAGAGAACGGCGGAAATTGGACGGCGATGACGCCGTTTGCTTGCATGATAAGGTCTGTCACTCTGGATTTCAGTACAGAAAAGTTGACTCCCTGATCAACGGATATGATCTTAGACTCTCCCCCTGAGTACCGGAGCCTTCCCGCCGGCGGCTGGCGCCGGAATGTTCCGTTGAAGCTGACAACGATCTTGATCTTGTTGTTTAGGCGGACAGAATCTGGGTCTTTCATGGGGGTCCTACAAATTCTTACAGATGAAGATTTAAGAGTTTTATTCTAGAGTGAACTGAGTAGCAGAGAGTGAAGGAAAGTTTATAGAGACGAAGAACAGGGGTTAAGGTGTCTCAGGTCGGTGATACTTAGTATTTAACATATGTGGAGGTGTCATTCATAGATTTGTTGTGAAATACGGAGTACTTTTATTCTTTTGTGTTGAGAGTTTGTGGGCCAAGAAACGTACAAAGTTGGTTAATCGGTTAGTTAAATAAAACACTCCTCATTCCTCATTCAGGAAAATAATTTAAATTACTCAAATTCCGATAGAGTGTGAAATAAGTACTTTAAACTTGCACATGTAATATATATATTCCAAACTTTATATAAAATGTTATATTAACATCATGATCACATATTAACATAATTTTAAATACACAAAATATTTATGAGGATGCAATTAAAATAAAATCCAACGAATGTAATATTATTTGTTTCAAAAATTGAATTGTAGGATGTTAATTGCATTCTAACAAGCCTTGAGGTATTTTAAATTCTATTACTATTCCAATAAATTTGTATTTGTAAAAAACACATAATCCTAGTGCAAAAATAATTTTTTATATAAAGTTCAGAGTATATATTACATATACAAGTTTAGGGTACACATTTCACACACTATTAAAGTTTTGGGTATTTAAATTACATTCCCCTTACTAATACGTTATTCTTGTCTTTGATATTTTTTTAATTTGGACATTTTTTGTGGACATATTTAAAAATAAGATCGTATATTTATATAAAATAGATCACATCAAACTAAATTTCACTAGAAGTAAAATAGATACAATGACATATCTTATCAAATCAAAGACCATAGCAACCATCATATTTAAATCGATACTCATTCAATCATACTCCCTCCGTCCCTTAAAACTTTGCCAAGTTTGACCGGCACGAGGATTAATAAAGTAAAAACTGTGTGGTTGAGATTTGTGCAGAGGATAGAGAATTAACTGGAACCACAAATTCTTTATTTAAAAGGGAAAATTACAAAGTTAGTGAGATATCTAAAAAATGAAAGTTGCCAAAATTTTAAGGGACAAAGGAGTATTAGACAAACTTAAATAAATTTGATATCGAACCTTGTCATAATATACTTAAATGAATTTTAACAAATTAGTTTAAATCAAATTAAATTAGACTAGACCAATTCTAATCAAAAAATGAAAATTTTAATCAAAACGAAGCATAAAGTATCTCTAACAGTTCATTTTAAAAACTTGCTTGCAATTTTAATAGTAATAACTTGCTATTTGAGCAGTATATTAGACAAATATTAACTTTTGCTCGAAAAAGTTAATTAGCCAAGTTAATTAGCCAAAATGAATCGCTAACGAAATATTAGATTTATTATATTTAATTGGATATATGGATACGTCTATAAGCTACGGAGTATTACACAACTACAGATCAGTGAAATTAAGATTAATAGGTCACACCAAATGTTCCCTCATTTATTAATAGTATAATATATACAACTGTACCTGCCGAAAGAGTTAAAATATAACTATAAATAGGAAGTCAAATTTTCATAATTTCAGTAAAAGGGAATTTTGGCAGTTATACCAAGGGAGCAGCCCACGGTGAGCATGCTCTCCCACAAAAAAAACGTGTTACTGTTCACGCACGTGAACAATAACTTTTTTTTTGTTTTGCATTGTCCCAGTAACGGAATGAGTGTAACTCGCGTGTAACAAAATGTAACTCACGTTAATAAAAAAATGTAACAGCCAGCAAGTCAAAATGTAACTTATCTAATATGAATTATAAGAAATAAAACATTGATTTTAATGAAAACAAGGAGTCTAATTGTTCAATTACTTTACTTAAATAGTTTATATGTTTTGTTTTTAATATTAAGGACATAATTTTTTTTAATCTTTTTTTGCCAAAAAATCTTTTTTTTGGCAAAAAACTCATTTTGCTTTTGCAAAAAAAGTAATTTTTTATTCAATAGCAGGGGTTAGCATAAATGGTGAATATTTTTTTTTAATATTAAGCCCATAAAAATGTTTTTGAAAATATATTTTTTGCCAAAACACATATTTTTTTGGAAAACAATTTTTTTTTGCATAACAATGATTCTTTTCTTTCAATAGTAGTAGGCTTTATGTTGTGATGTAATTCGTATTACAGAAAATGTAACCCGCGTTGATTGAAAATCTAATTTTAGTGTATGCAAAATGTAACTTGTTGAGGCAAACTCAAATGTAACTCGCGTATAGAAAGATGTAACTCACGCACAAGAAGATGTAAATCATGCATAAGAAGATGTAACTCCATATAATATCAAATGTAATTATAGAAATTGTCTATAAACATAACTCACACATACAAAAAATGCATTATTCTCATGTCTTTTTCAAATTTAAATTGAAATAAACAGCCTTAATGACTATAAAACACAAAAAACATATAAAAGAAATAAGAAATATATTATAGAAAAAAGTATAAGAATATAAAAAATATTTTACAAAAAAAGTATAATAAATATAAAAAAAATATAAAAAGTAAGAAATAGTGTATGAATATGAAATACAATATACTTATTGGGGAAAATAATAAAAATACCCCAAACTTTGAAGGGGTGTGAGATTAACACCCCAAACTTGCATATGTAATTTAAATACCCCAAACTTTATACAAAGAGTTATTTTAGCACCATAGTAACTATTATTTCTTTCAAAATGTAAAATTTATGGTGTTATTTGCATAATTTAAAATATTTTAGAATTCATGAAGACACAATTAACATTTTAAGCTTGCATTAGAAAATAAATAATGTTACCCTCAATCTATATAATTGCAACACTTTTAATTTTCTATTTTTAAATTATGCAATTAACCCCATAAATTTACATTTTTGAAAGAAATAATACATGACAATGGTGCAAAAATAACTTTTTATTTAAAGTTTAGGGTATTTAAATTACATATGCAACTTTGGGGTATTTACCTCACACCCCTTCAAAGTCTGGGGTATTTTTATTATTTTTCCCATACTTATTTTATGTGGATTAATAAAAATTTGTATTAAATTGGTAATGAAACAAATTAATTCAGTTCTTCCAAAAAAATTAATTCAGTTATAATTTAATTACGTCAAGATAAAGATAAGTAAAAAATCACAAATAATTAGATATAACTCACACATAATTACATGTAACTCGCGCATAAAAGTATGTAACTCGCGTATAAGAAGATGTAACTCACACATCACAAGATGTAACTCACGCATAATAACTTGTAACTGGAGTATAAGATGATGTAACTTCATATATTATGAAATGTAACTCCAAGCTAGAATCAAAATAAACAAACTCAATATCTTAAAAACCTCTAAAAAAAATTAAAAGTGATAAAAAAAATATTATAGAAAAAGTGTGTGCATATAAAAAATATTACAAAAAAGTACATGAATATAAAAAGTATATTACAAAAAAGTATATGAATACAAAAATATTACAGAAACAAAAATAGTGTATAAATATGAAATGCAATATACTTATTTTATTTAGATTGATAAACTTTATGATACTAATATTGACACTTTCAGAATTTAATTTTACTAACCTATTCCTTTATGGAGCAAGAAAAAAATAAAAAAAATTTCTTTATATGGTAAATCATACTACGTAATTTATATGGTAATAGGAAAAAGAAAAGGTCAAAAGGAGATCAAAGTAACTAGTGGTTGGAATATTCAGGAAGAAGTTGAATTGAAAATAAACAAAAAAAAAAAAATTGGATGGGAAGTGGGAATGAACGTGAAAGCAACGGAAAAAGAAATCAAAGCCTAAAGTGGGATCGGCACACCATGCGGAAGGTGGGCCGATCCCACAGTATAATTTGCATAGAGCCGTATATGCTTTACCAACACGATCAGATTCGGGGAGATATTTTTATTTGGACTGTTCCAGTCTCAGACAAAACCAGATCAGACTAGACCAGACCAATTTAGATCAGATCAGATAAGACTAGACCAGACTTGAATAGTTGTAAAATACACAGGGACTAGACATTTATCAGATCAGGCCAAACCAAACCAATAAATTTTTGTCCAAGTAAAAACATCCTAATGATACGTTGACCCGTTTAATAACTCAAATTTATTTATTTATTTATTTATTTATTTAGTTAGTGATTATTTATTTATTTATTTATTTATTTATTTATTTTGTCAATCATTTTTATAAATCACTATTTTCACTCCTCAAAAGTTCAATTACATGTTAATCAAAATAAGGGATTAAGAATGTTTTCTTTTGGACTGAAATTTGCTAGTCTGGTCCGATCTGATCTGGTCTGCTTTGTTTAAGTGTGGTCTGATATGTACTAGTCTGGTTTGATAAATGTATGATCTCTATGTATTTTATAATTGTCCAAGTTTGGTCTGATCTGCCCTGTTTAAGTCTGATCTGATGTGATATATTTACATCTGATCTTGTCTGGTTTGGGACCGTAAACAGTCTTAAAGAAAACATCTAAGTACAACACAAGTTTCATCATACTTCAAGTTTTTTTTAATGATATTTGTTCACTATTGGTTCAGAATTTTAATTTGAGAGTGATATTTTGTGATGATATTCAAATCGTGTTTTTTATTTGATATCTAGGGCATCCGTTTTAACAGGGGTGGACCCATGAAAGTCATCTTGGGGGTGAAAATATTTTGGAGAAGGGTTGAAAATACTTTTTGGGAGAGCAAAAATTATTTTTCGTATACATATACACTAAAAAAAATTGTTTGGAGGTGGTAACCCCTTGGGTCTCTACTACGGTCCGCCCCTGCTTTTTAATATCAGATTGTGAGAACTTTTTTATTGGTCTCCAAACATTATTGTAAGGTTTAGATTTTTAATGTATTAGAAATTAGAAATCGTTCCAATCATGTACAACTTGTATGAATTCATTTTTTATCCTAAAAGAGCGTCCATTATATTAAAATCAAAAACACATCAAAGATAATGTTCAAACAGAATTTACAGATTCAATCGTGAACCCTAGGAGTAGACTTAGAGTCAGCCACCTCATACAAATTAACATAACTCGCAAAAACTGAAACGGTCAAATTTAGGTTTAAAATGATCGGAACCGAAACCCTAC